TTGTTTTGTTTTGTTTTACCAAAAGCCAACAAAAGTAGACCAAAGCCCTAGACAGATCAAAAATCTTGCTGCTCTAGAGACCAAAAGGGAGTTAAAGAGGAACTACTCTTTCTTTGGGTTAGAGAGTGGAAGTAAGCTAGATATTTACAAATCTTAACCTTTAAGGTCAAGATCAAAGACAAGGATTTGGGGATTAAAAAAGAAAATGACAAGAAAGAGCATCTGGAACTACTTAAAACTTTTAACACTCTGTCAAGCTTAGTGAGAACTATATGTCTGATGATGTCACTCCTCTGGTCAATAAATTCTAGTGGCTTCTCACTATCTCTAGGATTAAACACACAATACAAGCTCTTCCACTTTGCATTTAAAGCCCATCAGCAACTCAGCATCAACCTAGATTTCCAGACCTCTTCCCCATTACTGCCATTACTCTACTCCGGTTCTTTGGATATTGCTTGGAGACACAAGGAGCATGTAGGTCATTTAATGGTTCTTTGCTCTACTCATGTGACTATCTATTTTCTTTTCTGGTCATATATTTCTCAGGTTCCATCCTCTACATAGCTTCTCCTATATAATTTCTGGTTGGTAATGTATAGCACTTTTCCACTGCCCTTTGGATGACCCCCAACTTTATATGTGCTGAGAAAGTAGTATTCCATGACTCTTGGCCATAGGCACAGATGCTTAGGGAGCACTGTGCAATTTCCCAAACACAATCTAGACTCCTCTTATTTCCTTTTCAATTCTAGGCTATCAATGGGCCATATATATATACTGCCTATGGACCAAAGTAATTAGATAAGCAAAAAATAGCATAGAAGGCTGAGAGTCACTTTATATTTTTCTTTTTCCCATGAATTATCATGTCAAAAAGATTCATCACTAAGTGGCACATTCAGAGATACAGCTCACCACGCTTACAGAAAATAGACAAGTTTGTTTTTGAGGACCATATTCAAAGTGCTCCTAGCTTACTAGAACCGGAACAACGCATGTGCAATGCTGGCATTGCCTTTAAAAACCCATGTTACCCTAACGCCATGATAAGGCATGGGAGTAGAGCTTTGAGGGAGGATTTTTTCATTCCAAATTTGGGAATGGTTGTGACTCAGGGAAAACATCACCATTTTAACCATGAGCTAGTAGATTCAAGAGGTACACCCAGAGTCTATGAAAACAAAGAGAAATCTACCCATTGGAATGTTTGGGGAACTTCTACTCTGTTTTTGAGCATCCTCAAATTTAATTCCACTAAGCCTTAGGGCAGGGGTAGGGAACCTTCTGCCTCTAGGTCACCCTGGGCCCTTTGACAGATTGAGTCAAGTTCCCCACCCCTGCTTTAACAGGAAAAGTGTTTGCTCAAATAGCAACATTCATTTGACCTCTACACAAGATAAGCTATTCTTAGACTTTGGTCAGTTTTAGATTTATGCTGTCTGAGGTAGCTAAAAGAAGACTCTAAGTGAAATGAAGAATTCAGAACTCTAAAAGAGCATTTAAAAAAATGGTAAAACCCTTAGAGTTCACTATTATAAATTCAGGCTTTGTGCAGAAGAAAAATACAATTATTTAGAAGTTCATGCCATCCCTTTAAGAAAGCACATTATCCTTTGTATTCTTTATGCCTGAATCAGAAAGTAACATACCAGATGTTGACTACAATAAGAAACATACATGTAAATTACTGCCATCTTTTTTATGAGACAAATGTGATTTATGGGGCTGGAGTTGTTATAGTAATTAGAAGACACAACAGATGGTGAACAATTAATTTAAAGTGATGTGTCCATTAAACTAACCTTTGCTATCACGTAATTGCTCATCAAGGCTGCTGATCTACTTAAACAGACCTATACTACATGATCCATAAAATGACTAAAAATGTTTTGGAAAGTTTCATTCAATCAAATGGCTTTCTGAGAAGACTTATTTTAGATTTCATGAGAGTTGTAGACTAGATAATTACATTATGTCAACAAGAGGCTTCTTTATTTCAGGAAGGACATACTGTTGGTCTGTAGGTAGAACTCATGGAAAAAAATAGCTTTTTACTTTACTGTGCTTTTCATACACTGTAATTTTCCTCTCACAAGAGCAAAGCACTGTACTTATACCTTATGGGTTTGAAAGGAGATAATTATTTTCTAAGTTCCATATGATAACTAAAACCTCAAATAATGTCACAGCCAAAAGCCTTCATCCAGAGTGCAACTAAAAAAGGTCATCAATTGTCATGGTGGCGTATAAACTTATTATATGCTGAAATTTGTACTTTCAGTAGGGAAAAGATAGCCAAGAAGGCAAGGCATCTACTTTGTAGCTACTCCTCATCTTTCCAAGGAATGAAGACAATAAACAGAAGGGCAAATGAAAAAAGGTCCACCTGTACTCTGCAACAAGGAATATTTATGAGAGCAATTAGCAAAAGCACTGAAGAAAAGAGAATCAAGTCTATGAAAAATACTTCACATATTGTGTTATGTTATTTGGTACTGAGATATATGTCCCAATCCTGAATTATCTAAGACATCATCATAATGATTACATCTGTTGAACCATATAATAATTTTACATTTTAATTCAACTGTTCATGTACTAGACAAGTATTCACTGAGTGCCTAGGGTTGGGTGTGATGAAAGGATGAATAAAATAGGTGCTATGTCTGCAAGGAGTTTATACTCTAATCCTGAATATAAAAAAGCAGCACAAATATAGAATAGAATGTGGCATATGTATATAATTTCCACCTAGAGGGATTAGGTAAGACTTCATGGAGAAGTCAGAATTTAATCTGGTCTCTGGGGTTGGGTAAGGGTTTCACTAGGCAGAAATGAGGCAAAGAAATTGATGAGGCAATTCAGGTGATGGAAGTATTATGAACAAAATTACAGAGATAAGGAAACATGACACATAATTAGAGCAAGTTGGTGAAGCCAATGAGTGACTTGGATAATGGTGTTGCCACATTTTAGAAAGTTGGGAAGGAAGAAAGGTTTAGGAAAGGAAACTCAATAGTTCAATTTTTGGTATATTGAGCTTATGGCTATAACAGGAAATTGAAGTGGAAATGCCCTATAACCCCCTCTACATATGGGTGTTCCCTCATGGACCTTCTTTTTCCTCTACCTACTTTCTCGGTAACCTCATAATCTGTCAAAGATTTAACTATCATCTTTATGCAACTAATTCTCAGATCTACAAATCTAGTCCAATGTTCTATAGTTATCTTAAACTCAACATATCTAAAATTGAATGATTTATCTTTTTAAAGCCCTCTCCTCATCCAAATTTCTTTTCTTCTGTCAAAAGTACTGCCAGCCTTCCAGTCTGTCAAATTTGTAATCTCAGCATTATTCTTGACTCCTCATTCTCCCTTACTCCACATATGCAATCAATTGTCAAATCTTAACATTTTTATTTTCACATTTCTCTCATCCAACCCCCTCTCTTCATTCACACACTTAATGCCTTACTGTAAACCTGAATTACCTCTAGCTTAAATTATTGCAACTACCTAACTGGTTTGCCTGCCTCAAGTTTCTCACAGTCCAGTCCACTCTATATAGTGCTGCCAAAGTAATTCTCCTTAGTTTCAAATCAGATCATTTGACTCCATTACTCAACCAACCTCAATGGCTTCCCATTCCCAGTTGACTAGTTGTGAATCATTAGCAATAGAGATTTTGCCCAAACTCCTTAGCAGCATACATACACATCCTGAGTGATTCATACCCACTGAGGAGTACAGAAAGGGAATTAGTCAGAGACAAGGAACTAAAATGCTATTTCTCCTAGTTCTTTCCTCTTCTTAAACCCTCAAGACCCCTATACAGCATCACACAATGTAATTAAAGTATAACATTCTTGACTTGTAAAAACAAATGGAAAATAAGTAATCAACATGTTAAAAAAGAGAGTTATAATTTTCCTTTTATTTTAAACAGCAAATAAGCAGAATGATAGAAAATTATATTGGGGAAGAAAAAGTAGGAAAATAAAGCTAAAGAAAATTCACAACTTCAGAATGTTAAATTAATATGACTAGTTTATCAAGTGATGTAAACACAGAATCTAGCAAGGTCATAAACATAGCCTAGTAAAATGCATATATATGTATATGTATATGTATTCTAATAGTTATTTTGGAAACTGTAATTACTGTCATCAGTAGCAAATGTTATTAAGTGAAGAACCATTGTATATGTAACCCTATATTTGGGAGAATTAACAGTAAAAGTTCAGCTCCATGAAAATATCAAGTTTTACATACACGGTAACTATAAAAAAATGATGGTCATATTTCTTGATAGGGTGGTATGATGCTGCTAGGCACTAAATTTCATGACATGAGATAATAATGTAAATAACAAAGACTGACTCCTCTACTTATTTTTCAAGTCCCTCTATATTCTGGCCCCATTCTATCTATCCAATCTTCTTTGTCACTACTCCCCAACACTTCTCTCACCTAGTCAGATCAATCTTCTTATTGTTTGAGAAATATCATCATCATCATCATCATCCCATTTATATACCACTTTAAGAATAACAAAGCATTTAATGTGTATTATCTCATTTGATCTTCAAAACTACTCTGTGTACCATTATTATCCCTATTTTAAAGATGAGAAACTAAGGCAGAAAGAGGAAAAGTGACATACCCAGGGCCACAACATGAGTATCTGAAGGAGGCCATGAACTCAGGTCTTCCTGACTCCAAGTCCAGCATTCTATCTACACCACCCCTAATGTTCTACCTTCCTTCTCCTCTGTCTATAGAAATCTTGTCCCTCCCTAAAAGGCTCAACTCAGATTTCATCGCCTCCCTTTATTTATTTATTTTTTTAAATTCTAGATGTTTATTTAAGAATGATTAATAGAAAAATGTTTGAGGAACTCAATTACTAGATTTTATCCCTTTAGTTTATTCCACTAATTTTAGTCATTTCCAACATCTCTTTGGTAGAAATCACTAAAAAAAATCCCATCTCACCTATTTTAGACTGCAGGTCATGTTTTGGTTCTTCAGGGGCCTCAATTGGCAAGTCAGCAAGGAAGACTCGAGCTTGGTCTACAGCATTCAATATAGACTCTTCTTTCTCTTTCAATTCACGTCTCAATGCCTTTACAAAGTAAAACAAGAATCTTGTTAGAGCTTAATGTTGTGTACAGAAGAAAATGGAGCATCCTCTTCATTTTTACCACCTCTACCCATACCTGCCGAGAGAGTGACTAATAGCCAAAATTTAATTCAGTTCATAAGTGAAAAATGTAAATTTTACAAATCAGAGAAATGAGAAAAAAAATGAACTTGGGTTAAAAAGATGATTCCTACAGGACGTAAATGTGCAAACATAAGAAAAATGATAATGTGTTTAAAATATTCACCTAACAGGAATTATTGTACTGTATGTGGACTTACATAAAATGTACTTTTAGAGTCTTCATTTCTAACTGTGAGACTGCAAAAATATAATAGCATATTTTAACACCCTTTTTTTTTGGTCATACAGAGTGACAAAAAAATTACATCCAATGGAACAGAAGAAGGCAATTTCACAAATGGTAATGAGATCTCCAGAAGTATTTTACATTCTTTAGAATATATTAAGTAAAAAAGAAAGAAATTAAGAGGTAGAAACAAATTAAACTACACAAAATCTAAACTAAAGAGAATACATTAAAAAACACAGTCTCCAATTATCTTAAAATATGTTCCATCTTACACTGAGGCAAATGCAATTTTTCCATTGTCAGGCTTTTTCAATGCAAATTTATGATTCTCAGGACCCTTAGTCTTTAACACATTTGTTCTTTAAAGTAGGGTTAAACTTTAACCCCTGCACTTATAAAAATGGTTGGTGGTTAAGATACTAAACTACCACAAGCCAAGCTGGCTACTTTACTGAACCTGCACAGTTATCTGAATGTAATTTTAAAAGCTCTATCTAATAACCATAGCAAAAGATCTGAATAAGAATATTTTCATCAACTAACTGGAAATTGTTTTTGAGGCTTTGCTGTCCTCTTAAAATTTTTCATGAACTTCTAGTAATGTAGAAAACAGTTCTTTGTTTTCTACCTTAGAAAAAGAATCACTTAGAAGTTTTTAACCACCTTCTTTTTAAAGTTGAGTTGAAATACTTTGCTATAATGTCTTTCCTTATAATAATATTATGGAATGTACTTTTTTGAAAAATTAGTGGGGTTTTCTTTCTGAGAGACCTTTCAGATTCATTATATAGCAGTTGAGAATCTATAGGTCCTTTCTGAAATTTTAACTGTTTTAGACAATAGCCCTCACTATGTATATATCTCACTCTTGATCACTTTGAAACAATTCCCACAAAACAGATTCTCTAAACTTATTCTTCTCTTAGCTTTTTGGTCATTTGAGAGTTAACCTCATGGGCCCCTAAAAAAAAACCAACAACCTGTAAAATGTTAAGAATTCTATTTTATTGGTATATTTTATTATTTTTGGAAAGAAATTTAGTGAGAGGTGAGGGAGAAGATGCTGGTTGAAAAATTAGGTTTGACAACTTTGAAAAACTTAGAAATTCTGGTCAACACAATGAACAACCACCAAGATTCTAGAGGACTTACAATGGAACACACTACCTACCTCTGGATAGAGAGGTGATGGACTCAAAGTACAAATTGGGGTATTTTGGGGGGGGAGGGGGAATATGGCCTGTGGAGGAATTTGTTTTGTTTGATCATACATGCTTACAATAGAGGTTTTGTTTGTCTTTCTTTTAAAACTGGGGGTGGGGTATGGAGTACCAGGAAGTGATGGTGGGATGCAGAGAAGACAAATTTTCATTGATTGAAAAAAATTTAATTGGGAAAAAATTATTGTCTAAATTAATGGAAATTTTAAAAATATTTTTATTTATTTCATTAAATATTTCCCAATTACATGTAAAATTGTCTTAACATTTCTTCTTTAAAATTATGACTTCCAAATTCTCTCTCACTCTCACTCCTCTCACATCCCTTGAGAAGGCAAGAAATATGATATTGATTATACATGTGAAGTAGAATTAATAAATCTTTTGTGATTGTGGTGATGTGACACCCCACATCACCAAAACAAGTAAAGATCTGACTGTCAGTCAATAAACAATGACTACAGTACTAAGTGCTAGGGATAAAAGAAGGGCAAAAGACAGTCCCTGACCTCAAGGAGCCTAGCACAGAGCCTAGCACACAATAGGTACTTAATAAATATTTATTGACTGATTGAAGGTGATCACACTATAATATTTTGTGCAACAAAAACAAATGGCAAAACTCCTAACACCAAGTATAGTAGTTTTAAAAAAAGAGTGACTGTTCAATCATGATGGAGAAACGGAACATTAATTACTATTTACCTAAGAAATATAGCTTAAATTCTGTAGGCTTAAGTACAGGAAAACTTTTATCTTCTACATTTCAAAACTCAGTTAATATGGATATGTAACTACCTTCATCTTCCTAAGTAAACAAATATAGGAGTTTAAAGAATGTGGACTAAACTTTCATATAGCTTAACATTATTTGAGCTAAGTAAAGTCAAATAGTTCCAGGGAAGTGAAAAGAGGTGGAATCTTTTATGTCAATTGAGCAACCATACACAAATTTTCCACTAAGCAGCAAAAGAGCTGCCAGATAGCCCTCTTCTCCTCCACCTATATTTTGGAGAACAAGGAGAAACAGCCCTAGATAATCTGCCTAATCCTGACCACTTATCCAAGGAGTAAGAAGACAGGAGATGGGGAAGAAAAATGGAAAAAGAATGGAAGTGACTCTGAAACCTAAACAGACTGAATGAAAGAAGCTGACACAAATGAGAGACCAAGCTGTCCTCACCATTTCCAAAACACAACCATCACCTAAATGTTCTAGTTCTCCTCCTTCTCCCACCAGGACTCTGACTCTGACCCTGGGTTTCAGAGCTCTGATAAGTGAGATTGCACCTAATCATGGCCAGAAATTGGCCAATGAAGCATTTTAGTCAGTTGGCTGACCTCTATTAAGTGCTTACTAGGTTCCAGGCATTGTGCCAAGCACTGACAAAGAATGGCAAAAAAAAAAAAAAAAAAAAATATGTGTTCTCTGAGAGAACACCTTTCCAAACCAATTTAGACTGTAAGCTGCTTGAGAGCAGGGATTATATTGCTTACTTGTATCTGTCTACATAGCATCCAGCACAGTACCTGGTACATAGTAAGCACAATAAAGCATAATAAATTCTTTTTCATTCACTTATTTATTCTTTCAAATTGAAGACAATACAGCCCATATGATGGGAGCCTAAGGAGATGAATCAGGTAGTGGAATCAATATTAGCTCTTAATTCTATGGGTTTCTGTGAAAATGAATATGTTCTATGGTTTTAAGCCTTGGGAAATCTATATATCTTTAAAATAATCTAATAGCTACCCTTCAGTGGCTACTGAATATGCTCAGATTTTCCAGGTTCTCCTTGGATGAGGTCAGTGAGCCACAGTACTGAGATGTTCTCAAGGGGTCTGTGGGCTTTCCACACCTGAAGGGTACCTCTGACACAAAGATTACCTCAATATCTAGTATCATTTTGATCATCTTTTATCATACTCTTAATTAGTTGTACTTGTTAATGGAGAAATCTTTGCATCTCCCTGGGCTTCTGCTCTTTCCTTTTAAAAATGAGGGTGGCTAGGGTTTTATAAAAATTTGGGAACACTTAGGTGAACTAATGCAAAATGAAATGAGCAGAACCAGAAGAATACTTTACACAGTAGCAGTAATATTGTAATAATAATCAACTATGAAAGACTTAATAACTCTTAATAACTTAATAACAATGATTCGCCACAATTTCAAAGGACTAATGATGAAAAATGCTATCTACCTCTAGATAGAGAAATGATGGACTTGAGAGTGAAGAATGAAGTGTATTTTTTTCCACTTTCTTTGCCACCTCCCCAATCCCAAACGTGGCTATTGCAGTAATATGTTTTGCAAGATGTCATATTTATAATGAGTATTGTATTTCTTGCCTTCTCAATGGGTGATAGAGGGGTGGAAGAAGAAAGAGAATTTGGAACTAAAAATGAAAATAAAATTGAATACAAAACAAAGTTAAAATAAAATAAAATAAAATAAGGGTAGGCACTTCTAGGGAATCAAATAACTGAAAACATATTTGGGTTCCCACTGAACATTATTTTTAAATATTTTTTAGAAGGAAAGGCTCACTGGGCAAGAGAGGGAGGGATATATTCAGAAATCAACATGTTCTAAAAAACAAAGGACATCAATAAAAATGAGATAAACTTTTTAAAATTAATTAAAAAAGGGAATTTTTGATATATATTGTCTTTAGGGTTTTTTTCCAAATCTAAAATTCAATGATTTTATGAAGTCAATACAAACTTTTTCTCATTCTAACAGCTATATGAAAGCTATTATTGCTGCACTGATATTTGTTGTGAGAGTCTATTCACTAAGTGCCTGCCTTGGGAAGGCATAAAGAAGATAAAAATGGTAAATCATGTAAAACATCATTTTTAAAATACTTAGGATTAGATGTGTCTCCTTGGCCTTCAATTCAGAAGTGAGTGAAATGTAAAAAAAGGTGGGATTTCTTTTTATGACAGACACATCTGTTACTAAATGTAATTCAAGGGCTCTAAGCTATGTCTCCAGAAAAGATCACTGCTTAGGCCAGACCACTGTGAACAAGGAGAAAACTACAGCTTCTCCTACAGGTAGAGCAATTCATGAGTTACCACCTAATCCTAACTTTTGACTGTGGTACATTCCTATATAATGCTGAAATACAAGGTACAAACCAAATGCTACTTCTACCCATCAAAAGTGCTAACTTCACAACAACAAATATTTAAGATTTTCTCCGTGAGGAGCACTACGTTTAAAAACTGGGAGAGAAATAAAGTTCAAATGTCCTCATGAAGCTGACAGTCTCATAAAATATTGGTGTTGATCTGAGGAAAGACAGCTTCCATATTCTTGACTCTTTTCATTAGAATGTGAGCAAACATTATCATTATTGCATCAGACCCTGAAACACTTCTTCTGGTATGGCCTCCTCAGTGATATCTACAATCACTCAGAAGAAATGAGCCAAGAA